TATGGCTCAAGTGGTAGAGCGCTAGCCTTGAGCTGAAGAGCTGAGGGACAGCGCCCAGGCCCAGAGTTCAGGCCCCACGACCGGACCCAAAAAAAAAGGAAAAAAAATGTTGGAAATGTTCTGGACTAAAATGAGCCAAAGAGACATGACACCTGTGACTGTAATCTGCTCCTACACTGGGATACTATACTGGGGGGGGAGGGGGGGAAGGGAGGGAGTGAGACAGAGAGAGGGAGAGAGAGAGAACGCAATTAACAATATTATTCAATGAATAGACTAAATAGTATAGAGATTATTAAGTATTGTATCAAAGAAAAAAATTTTTTTGGCAGTACTGGAAATTGAACTCAGGGCCTCACACTTACAAGGCAGGAAGGAACTCTATCACTTGAGCCATGCCCTCTAGTCCCTTTTATCTTTTTTTTTTTGTTAGTGGCGGGGCTCAAGTTCAGAACCTGGGGGATGTCCCTGAGCTTTTTTGCTCTATCATAGTACTCTACCACTTTAAGCCATAGCTCCACTATGGTTTTTGGGTGGTTAATTGGAAATAAGAGTTTCATGGACTTTCCTGCCCTGGCTGGCAGGTAGGATTACAAGTGTGAACCACTAGTGTGCCCAGCTTTCCTTGGTTATTTTCAAGGTAGGGTCTCCTTTTGTGCCCAGACGACTGGGCTGTCGTCCTATCACATGTGCTTCCCTGTGTCACTGGAGATGAAAGATGTGTGCCACTGTGCCCAGCCGTTCGTGCTTCCCATACAGGTAGATTAACAGGCAAGCACCACCATACCCAGCATTGGTTGAGTGGGACTCTCCTAAACATTTATGTATGAGCTGTCCTCAAACCATGATCCCCCACTCTCCCATCTTCCCTAGCAGTATAGACTTGAGTTAGTGGTGCTCAGCTTCCAAGGGAAACTTCACTGAAGTCGACAGCCCTATTACAGCCACATAAAAGCATATTTAAAGATACACATACTGAATTCTCTAAATGTAAAGGACCATGATGGATGCAACTTACTCTCAGTTGGGGGGGGGGGGCGACCCTACGTGTGTGTGTGCAGAGAAGCACAGGAACCCAAATTATATCAACTATTCATTGATTACTGGATAAAGAGAATAAATATTCTTTGAACTACTTTTGTTTTTGTCACTCTTCCAAGAATTGAAAATTTACAAATTAAACATTTTAAAGAAAGGGCTGGGGTCTACACTCTTCAGCCCCTTTTCTATCAGCAGCAGTGAGAAGGAAAGTAGTGTTATCCCCACCTGCAATGTGTTGGGTTATCTGCTCCTTTTCGTTGTCCTCCAGCTCTTCCCAGCCTTCCAGCTCTGTGAGGTCCTCGATTTTTTTTGTGGTGGCCCGAGCCCGTTCCAATTTCTCAAACATGCATTTAATGTGGTACCACTCTTTCATATCACCGCCAGACTCAGAAAAGGGATTGGGTACCACTTTGCCAATTCGACACACGCCCTTGACAATCTTTTCCTTGCATTTTTTGCAGCCAGCGGTGCCACGCTTGGCGTAGTCCACACAGAACCGTTGCTCAGCCATCTCACAGGGGCCACTACAGAGTCCCACATGCGAGCCTGGCAAGAAAACAAGGTGGGTGGCAAGTGGTCTCAAATGGCCTCCTTGGAATGACTGAACAGGCTTTCTTCTCTGGAAAAGGGAGTGCCCACGAAGCACAGCAGTTTCTGACCACTGGCTGAATTGTCTTATTTCAGGCCAGTGATACTGCTTTCGGAGCAGACACAGCTCTTTCCTGCCAAGTGCACGGAGGTTTTGTGGGAAGAAGATTTTGAAAGCCAAAGTCATTTAGCTGCACAAAATCGTGGGAGACAAAAGACAGGACAAGCTAGGCTTCCAGTTTCTCAAAGGCCAGAACTTCATCCAGTCTATAAACATCCATCTCCTAGGATGAAAAGAACGGTTCCAACGCAGGAAAACCTAGTTTCCAAAACAGTGCACACAAATATACCTAGTAAATAAACCACACAAAGAGAACCCAAATAACATAAAATTTTTCAGGCCACCAACATATGACTGTTATAATGGATGATGACCTTTAAGTATTACCAAGATCCTGAAGTTTCTTTTTAATCACCAAGAAAAAAAAATTACATTATGTTCATTAAATTTTAACGTGAAGTGTATCACATGTGTCATTCTCAGTAAGCAATCAAATCATTGTAGAGATTTGTGATTTAAACAGAAGCCCTGTTTTGAGAGGCATAAGCAAACTTAGAACGAGACTGTCTTCCCTAGATATAAATCCTAGCTTAGCCATTTACTGGCTGTGCAACTTGGGTAAGTTACTTAACCTCTCCGTTCAATTCCTTCCTTTATAAAATTTGAGTAAGAATAGTACCTAACACCAGAGGTGGTGGTATTCTACAAGTAAACCCGTTAGAATAGAGCTGGGCACACACCACAGGCTCAGTAAGCGTTAGCTCTTCCACAGTGAAGCAGTTAACCTTTCCGCAGAGGCTCCCTAGGTGTTATTAACCTGTTTTAATTCAGCCACTTGAATCGGGGAACATTAAGAATCGTAGGGACGGAGGGGTCCATCCAAGTGGAAACAAGCGATTCTAGCTACACCTTTTCACAGTCATGGGTTAAAAGCGTTCTTCAAAAAGTTCTAGTTTTAACTATCCTGGCATCTTCAGCCCGCAGCCGGCTGGGAGGTAAAACGGGGCTATTGTGTTTAGGATCTGGAGCCAGCGGCGGCGACCGGCCCGGGCGGAGCTCCGCGACCTCCCTCCGGGGAGATCCAAAACTTGAGGACATTCCTTTTTCTCCCGGCTTTCTACACCCTCCCCGGGGGTGCTGGGACTGAGGACGACGATTCATTCCGCCGGGTGCGGGCCGTGCGGGTGCGGGGCGCAGCTCCCCAGGTCGAGGCGCCACGGTCGTGGTCGGCGGGCCCGGAGAGGGGCCTGGGAGGTCGATCCGGGGAGCCGGACGCGGTGCGGGAAGAGCGCGGAGCCCGATGGCCGGGTGGGGGGCGGGG